CCCAGAAGGACCCCAGAATCCCAGAGCAGAGGGACACTGGAGAGGGTGCCTCGGGGCCCACCTCGGGACGCCCAACGGCTGCGTTGTGGTGCCCACCGTGGCCGGAATTGGGGCCGCTGCGACACCTCACTGGAGGTACGTCGTCTTGGAGCTACGTTTGAGCCTTCCCAAGATGAGAACGTCGGCCAGCCGATGCTGTCATCTCAGGGGAAAAAGTGGGTTAACTTCCTGCTCCTTTCGACAGCATCGGGCGCTGCCCGAGGTGGCCTTCCGTAGCACTCCCCCTCGCGAGGCCCGGGGTCGGGCACCGGATTGGCGCTGGAGGCCAGCGGAATCTGGGGCCAGGAGTTTGTCGGTTTCATGCAGAAGTGACCCTCCCAGATTGCTTCATGCAAGAGTGTTCATGCAAGATTGCGCCGTGAAAGAATCAGGACGGGAGGTTTTTGGCCAATTTCGGCTTCGGGGGGCCCTCGCCGGGCCTCAGGACCGTCAAAAAACGGCTCATGAAGAAAAACCGGTCCTGGGGAAAGGGTCGAGACTTCAATGGGCCGGGTATTGAAATTATCTTGGCGAAGGACCCAACCATGTGCAGATGTGTGTATCGCAGTTGTGAGTATCGCCCTCGGTGAACCTCTCTCTGGGGCCACGACGCGTGTGACGGGTGTGCCGAAATTGGCATGTGTAAGCCATGCGGACGCTGCCACCGGAGCCGTCGGTGCAGCCCCGTGTGAGGCCACGAAACATTTAAGAAGTGCGCCGGAATGCAGGGTGAAACAACGTGCGGGCGCTGCCGCTAAGGCCTTTGGGGGCCACGAAACGTGGAAGGGGTGTGCCGAAATGGGGTGAAACTGCTTGCGGGCCCTGCCACTGGGGCCTTGGGTGGAGTACCCTGTGGGGCCACGAAACGTGTGAGGGGTGCGCCGAAATGGGGGTGGAACTGCATGCGGACCCTGCCACTGGGGCCTTCGGTGGAGCACCCTATGAGGCCGCAGAACGTTCCAGGGGTGCACCGAAATGGGAGGGTGGAACTGCATGCGGACCCTGCCACTGGGGCCTTGGGTGGAACACTCTATGGGGCCCCGAAACGTGTGGGGGGTGCGCCGAAATGGGGGTAGAACTGCATGCGGACCCTGCCACTGGGGCCTTCGGCGGAGCACCCTATGGCCCCTAATCCCAACCCTTCCCTCTCCTCCACCCCCGCCCCCTTCCCTTCATCCTCCCGCTGTTCCCGCTGCTCCTCCTCCTCCTCTTCCTCCTCCTCCTCCTCCTCCTCCTCCTCCTCCTCCTCCTCCTCCTCCTCATCCTCATCCTCATCCTCATCGTCATCCTCATCCTCATCCTCATTATTCTCCGCCTCCTCCTCCTCCTCCTCCTCCTCCTCCTCCTCATCCTCATCCTCATCCTCATCCTCCTCCCCTCCTCCTCCTCCTCCTCCTCCTCCTCCTCCTCCTCCTCCTCCTCCTCCTCCTCCTCCTCACACTCCTCACACTCCTCACACTCCTCACACTCCTCACAGTCCTCACACTCCTCACACTCCTCCTCCGCCTTCGCTTCCGCCTCCGCCTCCGCTTCCGCCTCCGCCTCCGCTTCCGCCTCCCCCTCTGTTTCCGCCTCCTCCTACTACTTATCCTCTTTCTCCTCCTACCCCCCCCTTTTCCCCCTCCATGCCTCCCTCCCTCCCTCTCCCAGTCATCCCTCTCCCCCGGCGTCGGGCTCTTCCCCCTCATCATCTCCCCTCATCCTTCTCCTCCTCGTCAGTTTTCTCTTCTCCCTTTCCTGCTGTTCATCCCAGGGTTCATCACACCCTTTGCTCCTCCTCCACCACCTCCTCTTCTCATGCCCCTCACCCTCGCTCCCCCCTTCCCTTGCACCGTGTCACCAAATCACTGCACAACAAGACGGGGTCGTGCATCGCTCAACAGCCAGGCGCGGTCCAGCAGCGCCTCGCTGAGCGGCGTGGCACTCTGGACGGCACGTCTCGGGGCCAGCAGCACGCGGGAGGCCAGCAGAATGACGTTCAGCAGGGCCGCGGTTTAAGCAATACGTCGGGGCCCATTAAAACGACTAAGCGCAGCAGCACTGCATCCGCGCTCATGTGTCCTACAAGCAGAGCGACGTGCAACACTACAGGGGTCAGCAGCACGAGACTGAGCGGCACCGCGTTCTGAGCAGCACCTCGCAGCCCAGCAGCACGGTGTCGAGCAGCCTTGCAATTTCCACGCCCCTACGTCCACGAGCGCAACGGCCAGGATGACAGACACCGCGTCGCTGAGCTGCACGGCTGGGACCAGTAGCATGACTACGAACAGCGCGACGCTCTGAGCACCCCATCGGGGTCCAGCCTGTTGAGCAGCTTTACGATTCCACCTCCACGTGTGCAACTATCAATAAGCCGTCCACCACATCACTCAGCAGTACAACGGGGGGCAGTAGCACGACATTGCGATACATTTCGCTGCGAGCACAACGATGGCGACCAGCCGTCCGACACTGAGTGCACGACCTCCATTTCCGCGCGTGCAACGAGCAGTGCGACGTGCATCTAGTCACTGAGCAAAAGCAGCACAGCGGGGATGAACAGGATGTCTTCGAGCGACTGGCTCCCTGAGCAGCGCAACGTGGTCCAGCAGCACGACGCTGAGCAGCCTTACGGTATCCGGGTCCACGGGCGCAACGAATAGCAGGACGTGTACCACATCATTGGCACCAGCCTGACGCTGAGCAGCACCAGGACTAGCATTAGCACGAGCGGAACCAGCGGCCGCGGTGATCGGCGGCGGCCCTGCGACCAGCACGGCGGCGAGCAGGCCCTCCACGACCGATGAGGCTTGGGGGCCTGTCAGCTGTCAGACTGAGGCGAGCCTGGCGCGTGTCTCTCCTCCTCTCCCGTTTTGATCACCCTGTCTGGCTTCCACCGTTCCTGGCACGCGCCGGTCTTGCCTGAGCTGTGTCGAGTTGCCTGCCCTACGTTGTCCCTCGCCGCGGGGCCCACCGGCGCTTCGCCATGTGCCAGGCGCGCACGCCACGCAAACGTTGCCCGTCTCTGTGCCTTGACGCCCACGGCAGCCGTTAGGCTGGCCACGGCATTCGACTTATGGCACGCGCGTAAACAGCTAAATTGTCGTTGCTAGTTCTTCCTTTGCCCGGCCGCTGCTCGCTGCTGCCGTTTCCGCCTTCCCCGCTGCTGGCTCCTTGTTCCCAACCATCCTGAGGTGTTGGGTCCTCGTTTTGAAGAGACAGCGCCCCGCGCCCCACCTCACATCACCTCCCGCGCTCCTCCCCCTCCTCCCTCCTCCCATCCCTGCCTCTGCTCTCATGCATGCCGATGTCGGCGCACCCCTCACACGTTTCGTGGCCCTATAGGGAGCTCCACCGAAGGTCCCAGTGGCAGGGTCCGCATGTAGTTCCACTTCCATTTCGGCGCAGCCCTTACACGTTCCGTGGCCCCATAGGGTGCTCCACCGAAGGTCCCACCGGCAGGGTCCGCATGCAGTTCCACCTTCATTTCGGCGCACCCCTCGCACGTTTCGGGGCCCCATAGGGAGCTCCACCGAAGGCCCCAGTGACAAGGTCCGCGTGCAGTTCCACCTCCATTTCGGCGCACCCCTCACACGTTCTGCGGCCCCATAGGGTGCTCCGCCGAAGGCCCCAGAGGCAGGGTCCGCATGCAGTTGCACTTCCATTTCGGCGCACCCCTCACACGCTTCGTGGCCCCATAGGGAGCTCCACCGAAGGTCCCAGTGGCAGGGTCCGCATGCAGTTTCACTTCCATTTCGGCGCACCCCTCACACGTTTCGTGGCCCCATAGGGCGCTCCGCCCAAGGCCCCAGTGGCAGGGTCCGCATGCAGTTGCACCTCCAGTTCGGCGCGCCCCTCATACGTTTCGTGGCTCCATAGGGTGCTCCGCCGAAGGCCCCAGTGGCAGGGTCCGCATGCAGTTCCACCTCCAGTTCGGCGCACCCCTCGCACGTTTCGTTGCCCCGTAGGGTGCTCCGCCCAAGACCCCAATGGCAGGGTCCGCATGCAGTTCCACCTCCACTTCGGCGCACCCCTCACACGTTTCGTGGCCCCACAGGGTGCTCCACCGAGAGCCCCAGTGGCAGGGTCCGCATGCAGTTGCACCTCCATTTTGGCGCACCCCTTACACGTCCCGTGGCCCCATAGGGAGCTCCACCGAAGGCCCTAGTAGCGGCAGCGCCCGCACGCGCTTCCACCCTGCATTCGGGCGCACCCCTCACACGTTCTGTGGCCTGACTTGGGGCTCCACCGACGGCTCCAGTGGCAGCGTCCGCATGGCGTACCCGTGTCAATGTTGGCACACTTGTCACACGCGTCGTGACCCCAGAGAGGTTCACCGAGGTCGATACCCACAACTGCGCTACTCACAACTGCACATGGTTGGGTCCCTCGCCAGGGCCATTGTTCACGCTGGTGTTTGCGGCGGTGATTGTTGTCCTCTTTGGCGCAGCGTTTTGCCATTTCTCGTCACGATGCTGATTGCTAAGCAAGTGACACTTGACTGGGTCGTCGCGGCGCGATTGAAACAGATCCCCCCTCCTCCCCCTCCTCGTCGCCATCCTGACCTCCCCCTCCTTCCCTACTCATCCTCATCCCCCTCCTCCCTCTCGCCGCCTGACCACCTCGAGGGAGAGTGGGGAGGAGGAGGAGGAGGAGGATGAGAAGAAGAAGTAGAAGAAGAGCAAAAAGAAAATGGAGGAGAACATCGCGAAAGATGAAGAGGATGAGGAGACAAAGGAACAAGAACAAGAAGAGGAAGAATACCAGAGGACGAGGAGGAGGAGGAGGACGAGGAGGAGAAGGAGGAGGAGGAGGAGGAGGAGGAGGAAGGGGGGATGCGGAGGAGGAGGAGGGGGGCGGGGGAAGGGAGGAAGAAATGCACGAGGAGGAGGAGAGGGGGGGCAGGCATCCCGCGCGCGGGCAAAACGTGGAAGCGCTCGGCGGCGGAGCGGCAGCGGCAGCGACAGCGGGGGCCGGGGAAGGAGCACGTCCTGCTCCAGTCGGCGGAGTCGCGCATCAAGAGCCTGCAGGACACGAAGCTGTTCGTGCGCAGGGCTGCCGCACGTCCGCCCCACGGCTCCAGCGCCTCGGCACTCCCCAGGGGGGGCGTCGTCGTGCGCGGCGGCGGGCTCGTGCTCTCCCTCCCGCCAGGGATGCACACATTTGTAAGGCAGCGGCGCAGAGATTCCTCAAGCGCGGGCAGCAGATGGAAGTGCGAATTGTGATCGAGCACTGTCGAAGGCGCAGTGTACGAGACGTCGCACACTGTGAGGTGCAAGCGATAAGAGGTGTGCTAGAGGGACTGTAATCCCAAGCATAGACATTCAGCGGCCAGAAAACAGAGGAGGCCAGGGACGCGCACATACACACACACGCACACACACACACACACACACACATTCAACACATACACACCCACACACACACACACACACATACATACACACACACACACACGTCAATTGACGTGCTGTGATGTGCTGGGATGTGCTGTGATGTGGTGTGATGTGCTGTGATGTGGTGTGCTGTGCTGTGATGTGCTGTGCTGTGCTGTTCTGTGCTTGCCGTCTCTGGAGTCATTGGCCCCAACCTTCTGGAACATAGACCGCCGCCATGGAGCCCAGTGCCCCTCCCGCTGCCCTCCCCGTCGAGTTGCACGACCTGCAACGCCGACTTTGCCAGACGCTCGCGGCATGTGCCCGCGGGAGCCCATCCCTAGCGGCGGCGTGGCTCCGTGACTCTGAAAGCCTCCTGCGGAGGCTGCAGGCTGACTGCGCGCGCCTCCAGCGGTGCGGCTCCGCCGCCCCAGCCGAGCTGCATTAGTATATAAGCCTCTGGATCCACGCCCTATCGACTCGCACTGTACCCATTTATCCCACACTCCCAGGAGGTGCTACGATGTCGCGTGCCGTGATGATGCATCCGCGAGGAGCTTCGGGCAGCCTGTCCAGATTGCGCCTCCAGGAGGCACTGCAGAGTGCTCGCTTGGATCGGCACCTCCGGGTGTGCTGCTGCGTTGCTTGCTGGGTTGGCGCCTCATCGAGACGCTGCGGTATAGCATGCTGGGATGGTGCCTCAAGGAGGCGCCGCGGTGTAGCCTGCTGAGGTAGCGCCCCCAGGAAGCGCTACAGTGCGCCCTTTTTGGTCTCCAGGTGGTTCTCTTGTGCAACCTGATGGGTTGGCGCTTTCAGGAGGATCTGCGGTGAAACCTGCTGGGAGGCGTTTCCTGGCGTGACCGCGCTGCAGCTTGCGGGGGTGCCCCCCCCCAGGGAATTGCCGCGAGGCTGTCGACGTCGTTGCCCGTCTCACTGCTGCACGCACACCACACGTGTGTGGCTCAAGCACGCTCTCTCACCCACCCGCGGTCCCACATGCTATCGTGAGCGTTGTGCGGCCCCGCGCGGTGCAGGTGTGCCTCATCACGCCACCCGGAACCGACTGACACCCACCCTCGCCGAAACAGCGCGCAACAGCACGAGCTGCATGCCGCGTTCGGCTTGCAGCACCGCGGTTGTTCAGCATCGCGTGTGTTTGCGCGCAGGCTGGGTCCACCAGTACGGGAAAGGGGCCGGTCCTGACGGTTGAGTGCTTTCAAGTGCAGCGTGCTGGGTGTGTACTTCGGTGTTGGGTGGCTGCGCAGCGGACCGCGCCCCACCCACGTACTTTCCCCTCACCCACCGCCGCCTGCATCGTTTGCCTTGGCGCGCTGTTTGGGCTGAGACGGTGCGAAGCCACGGCGTTCCGCATGGGCGGCGAACAAACAAACAAACAAACAAACAGACAGACTGCACACACACACACACACACACGGTGCACACGCATGGGCGGCGCAGACACTGCACACACACACACACACACACACACACACGCGCGCGCGCACGCACACACACACACACACACACACACACACACACACACACACACACACACACACACACGCGCGCGCGCACGCAAACAAACACACACACACACACACACACACACACACACACACACACACACACACAGCTTTTGCGTCGGCGGCTGGGCAAAGGTACTGCTCCAGCGATGTGGCAGTAGCGGGGCGCAGAAAATGCAAATTGGGCCGCGGTGCACATGAGAAAGAGAGAGGAAGCCCGGCGGGGGCGGGGGGGAGAGGAAGCCCGGCCCATTCAGAGCAAGCCCAGACGGCGGCGGGGCGAGCGCCAGGGTGGGGAGCCAGCGGTGCTGCTGGGGCAGCAGCTGGGGGCAGGCAGCCAGAGGCAGCTGGTTAAAGGTCCAGGGGGGGGAGAGCACGTCGAACTGCGAGGCGGCTGAGCACTGAGATCTTCTGACCTTCCAAGCGAATGAACAGCAAATCCTGGAACGACTCGCAGTGCGAGCCAGAGGCCACGACCTGCGCCCAGTCCGCCGCGGACAACTCCTTCTCCTCCTCCTCCTCCTCCTCCTCCTCCTCCTCCTCCTCCTCCTCCTCCTCCTCCTCCTCCTCCTCCTCCGGCACCTTCACCTCGCCGCCGCGCGCGGCGCCAACGGCCCTGGCGCCAGCGGCCGCAGCCGCGGCGGCCTCGGCGACGGAGGCCGCGGCGACGGCGCGCACGCCGGCGGCCGCGGCGGCGGCGCCCGCAGAGGGGGCCACGGCGGCGGCGCGCGCGGCGGAAGCCGCGGCGCCGGCGGCACCCACGGCGCCCCCCGCGCCAGCGGCACCAGGGTGGCTCGCAGCCCCCGCAGCGCAGGCGGCGCCAGCGGCCATGGCGGCCGCGGCGGCGCGCGCGCCAGCGGCCGCGGCGGCGGCGCATGCGGCGGAGGCTGCGGCGGCGACGCTGACGCCGGCGGCCGCGGGGGCGGCAGCGCCGGCGCGCCGGCCGCACGCGCAGCGCCAGCGGCGCCGGGAGCATTCGCAGCGCCAGCGAAGCCGGCGGTCACCGCGGCGCTGGCCGAGCCCGCCGCGGCAACGGCGCCCGCGGCACGGGCGGCGCCCGCGGCATTGGGGGCGCCGGCGGCGCACGCGGCCGCATGCGGCGGCCAACGGCGGCGAGTCGCGCGCGGCGGCGGGGCCACCGCGGCGGCGGCGGCTGCGGCGCGGGGCGCGCCGGCGGCGCCAGCGGCGGCCGCGGCGCCGCGGGCGCTGGCTGCAGCAGACAGAACCAGCAGCTCGGGCGGCAGCAGCCTGGCGCCGCCGCCGCCCCCGCGCCGCAGGCCCTTCGTGGAAGGGAGGGGGGGCCAGGACGAGGCACCCCTTCGAGCCCCCCCCCGGCCGGGCCACGCCGGAGGTCGGGGCAGACCTCCAGCCCCGCAGCAGCGGCCGCCCCCTCGAGCCAGAGCGGCTTGAGCTAGGGGGTCTCGGACGCAAGAACACACACACACACACACAGACACACACACACACACACACACACACACACACACACACGCGCGCGCGCGCACGCAAACGCACTCACACACACACACACACACACACACACACACACACACACACACACACACACACAATTTTAAGCCGGCGGCGCAGAGGGACCTCAGGCGCGGTCGGCAGGTGGAGGTGCCAGTTGCGAACGAAGTTAGTCGAACGCGCCAGGATGAAAATGCCCAGTCACGGCAGTGCAGATTGGTGGTGAAAAGATCACGATGCGCTGCAAGCCAAAGCGCAGCGGCGAACGAAACGATGAACAATTCGACTCGCATGAGTTGAAGCGCCAGCAGCCACGTGGTGCTCATTAGCGACTGAGTCATCGGAGGGATGTCAGACAGCGAAGACAAAAGACAGAAGCACGTAAAGCTGCCATACCTGCCGGAAGAAGTAGCACTGAAGAAGCTACGACCTGGCGACATTGATGGGCAGGGTGTTAACCCACGAACCAGCGACGCCCGATGCACAACCAAATTGGGTAAAGTGTTCGATGGTTGGTGACGGAGCAGCACGCGACACCCAAAGAGGCCAATGCCGGCGATGCGCCCAGGCTGGCCGAGAAAAGGCCGCAATGGCGGCCCCGACCATAGTAGATTGGTAGGGTACCGCTCGAGCAACGGAAGTAGAAACGCGAGTTGCCTTTTGCGCACCGCCGTCTATGTCGCTACCAAATCGACGAAGGACGTCTGAGACAAGACGCGGAAGGCGCCGCGAGGCTCGCAGAAGACCCACTCGAAGAGCCTACGCCGCGCCTAGAGAAGAGCATCACATGCAAGACAGACCTCGGCTGCGGCAAACGCAAGACCACCCCAGGAGGCCCCCACACACACACACGCACACACACACACACACACACACACACACACGGAGCCAGGAACCCGACCAAGCGCGAGCAGCTCAGGGTGGCCAGAAGACGCGGCGCCAGGAGAGAGAGCTCCAGGCGCCAAAAGGCCCAACCCCTTGTGGCGCGGGACAAACCCGAAGGAGGGAGAGAGGGAGGGGGGAAGAGCAAGCAAGGCAGAGGCAGGAGGGGAGCCCAGAAAGACGACGGGGGGGGGGGGGGGGCCCACGACACGGCCGAGCCTACGACCGACGACGACGGGGACCGACGAGCCACCACGGGGGGGGGGGGGGGGGGCGCCACCGGAGGGCGGCAGGAACGCCACGCCACTTCCGATAGAAAACAGAACGCCACGGGGCCTATGGCCAGGAGGAGTGGCGGAAGCAAGGGCAAGTGCAACACGGCAGAACCAAGGGCGACAGAGCGGCGCGCGCCTAGAGCGACATATCGGTGAGCAACAGGGCGTAGCAGCGACGCATCGGCGCGCGACACGAGCGATTGATCGGCATGCGACAAAGCAAACAGCGACAGGTCAGCGCTTGCCTAGTGCAAGACCGCCCGAATCAGGAAACCGCGCCGCGGTGCCCTACACGCGCTGCGAGGAAATCGCGCAGAGAGCTCACGTCAAGCAACCATGGGCCCAGCGTGTTGCCGCCGCACTGCGCGCAGTGAGCTCTCCAAGCCATATTGCTCTGACCCCAGCCGCATGACACGGGCCACGAGCTGTTCCTCGGAGGCAACAGCCAAGCTAGCCAGGTGTCCGCCGAGTCAGGGCCCCTGTTTGATTCGGCCCGTCCAATCAGTCACGCCGAGGCTGGCA